CCCTAAGGTTGTAAAGTCCGACGATAAGGAAGTTACTTACCGCAGTAAAGGAACTTAGATATATTACGTGAAGTAACTAGAGAAGATTATTCCCAGTGACAATATATATAATTCAATATATTTTTTTTATATTAGTATATATAGCATGAAATTTTAAGAAAATTAATATTTATTTTTAAAATAATTTATTGTGTTTGTATATTTTTTATTTTATTAATTAATAATTTAATCCTCATCATTTTTTAAAATGCATTTCCAGTAGGATTTCGAAACTATTTCAAGGGGATTCTATATCCATCCAAATACACTTATTCCCACCATTGGATGCACTGGTCCAGGGATCCCAGCATTTGTAGTCAACATTCCAGTTAATGAGGTTTTCTTTGATCCAGCAACAATCTCACCTCCTGCTAGATACATTCCTGCAATTCCAGCTGGAATCAATCCTGGTGTTGTTTTCACTATCAATCTTTATAACATTCAACAAGAAGTTTTAATGTTATAAAGAAATTGATTTGGATTGTCTTCTAAAATAATATAAATATGTAATCACAAATCACAACTGCACTTATGACATACAAAGTATTTTATTTTATTTGTTTTATTAAAAATAATAGATCATAATATAATAAGAATTAATAAAGTATCTGTTGCTAAAGCAAACAAATCTTGTATTTAATAAAAAAATTTTTCTTTGCTAATTGTTACTTGATTGATTCCAGCTAACTTTCACTTGTATAAATATCATACAACCTTAAATTATTGAAACAATGTATCAATAACCTTGAGGCTGAGAAAGCCAAGCTCTTAAAGCAGGTTGCAGAAGAGAGAACCAAAGCATGAAGTTGAGTCAGAAATAGAATCGAGGAATTGATCACCTGAAATGCGCAGTGAACTGAGATATCCTGTGTAGTAAATACGTCATTTTCTGTGATTTAAGAATATATGGAGCCTTTGCAATAGAAAGGGGAAAACTACCAGAAAAATTAATTTTACTTTTATATGTCAAATATGATTTTTAGGCTGAAATATGTTCAAATTAGCTTTAACTCATTTTTGATTTTTCTGGCCTTTATATTGCAAATGCCTATATGTTATATGCAGTTACGTCATTGAAAATTACATTTATCATATGGGAACATTTCCAGTAAAATAAAGTCATGAGGTATAGTAAATCATATGATCTATAATGTGATTTTACTGAAAACGCTCCCATATGATTAGTCGGTAAATCCTACTTCTATTGGTTGGAAGTGTCTTCAAGATTATCATATGACACATTATTTTTATCAATTTAATCAGTATTCAACCCCTATCATTAAGTATAAATAGACCTTAATAGCATCCTAGGAATTGATTGCATTACTTTTAACGAGTTTGGATCATAGAGTAGCTTCCCATCTTTTCTTTGAACCTTTCTAGTATGCTGAACCTTGTTTGGTTTGCAAACAAGAAATTATAGACTCATATGCAATGTTTTAATATAGTCATACTTTTCACATTAGATATTGTCATGTAAATTCAGTTCACTCTGAATAGTGCTTAAAATGCCGAAGTAATATTATTGAATAACTTAAATAACTTAGTTTTAAAAATATGAGTATAGAAGAAAAATTGTTAGCTTTTATACGTGAGGTGTTAACTGAAGTAATGTATATTGATAATAATTCATCAAAAGTAATCCTTCAGGATCAACCTATAGAGCTTCTATGCAAATTATCTCAAAAAGTTGGTAAGGCTAATTCTCATGCCATCTATTATTATTATGAATTTGGTTTAGCAGTAATTATTCTTCTTAATGAATTAATAGAGAAAAGGTAGAAGAAGCATGATATAATTTAAATATAGAGATTCTGAGATATTTACTAGCTGGTACTTTTCTAGCTATAGCAAAAGATAAAATTAAAAAGGCTAAAAAAATGTATGACCTTTTTAGTACTATAGATCCATCTAGAATTCAATTAGTTTGTTCATTTTCTATAGGCTAACTCTCATCTTTTAAAGAAAATGATATCAATTTCATAAAAACAAAATTATCAAAGTTTGGAATGCTATAAATATGCAAAACACCTTAAGTGTTTTATTATGTCTTTTTATGATTTTTTTATGTCTTATTGTACATATAATTCATATATCATACTTTTCTTCAATAAAAACTCTTAGTATGTAGTATCATAACTGATATAAGATCATATTAGATAAATTTATAGATATGTCATTCTTTCTTTAATAGTTATTTTTTAGTCTGTGTGATCTTTTTGTTTCTCATAATTAATAATTAGGAACAATAGTGATACCTGACAAAATTACTTTTCTTAATATGACAAAATTGACGAAACTGAAATAATGAAACTAGTTTTTTATTAATGACGAAATTATTTTACTTAATTGCTAAAATTATATTTAACTTGATTTAAATTTCTTGAATTAAAATACATTAAAAAATATAATAATTTTATATTTATTCATATAAAAATATTAAAGAGACGAAATTTTTGATGAAATTACAATTTTTCAAAAAAGAGTTTAGTCAGGTACTATTAAGAAACATAATAGATAAATTTGTAACAAATGAAAGGATAACAAATTTTATATGTTTGAACATTCAAGCATTTAATTTTTTTTCAGCTTGGTCATCTACAATACTCAATAAAAGTACTTTTCATTTTTAAATGTGTTTTGCAAAGTTTTATTTATATACTGATTAGGTCTTAAGAGATCTCGCAATACATATATATACTAACATACTATCTACTACCCATAAAAGTAACAGTATAATCAATTAAGTATTATTTACAATTATAAAAAAATAATAGCTAGTCTCTCTCAAAAATTTGCTACTGATATTTCTATTCTACAATAATAAAAAAATCATCCTATTCTTTTTTTTCATCTAAAGCATCAGCATAATATTGATAATATTGGCATTTTGGGAAAAGAAGGGAAGGTAGGTGTGACAGGCCTAGAGATTGTAGGTATTTAGACAGATGTAGTTACAGATCTTGATAGTAGCTTTGTGGTAATTTTTTTAATAATCCACTACAAGAAGAAGCTGAAAAAGCTCTTATAGTTGAAGAAGAACCTATATCACAAGATTTAACATTTCATTATATATTTGCTCAAATGAAAGATTTAGCAAAAAAAAAATTTATGTTAGTTTTTGAAAGTTCTGTCTATTTATTTTTCTAGAAACATGCTTTAGTGTTTTCAGTTAATTACCTGATTTTTGCTAGAACTTTGTTAAGAACTTATCATAAATCTTTTTTTCAATTAAGCTCCTTTATTTCTAGTATCTTCTCTATATTTTTCTGTCATCTAAAAAGAATAAATTTATTGAATAACTAGATTCCATAAATCTAAAGTAACAATTACTTACTCTAAGTACCTTCTTGAGATTTTTAAATTTCTTGTGATAGTTCATGCCAATAAAAAAATTGGTATTTTCATGTTCATTAATTTTTTCAGCAATATCATTCCAAATTAAGAGTTCTTTTTATTTAGAATAAAATAAAATTCAGCATTTTTTTGTTTTCATTCATTAATAAGAAAGTGGATCTATGCATCACTTCACTTGATAGAAGATATAATTTCACATTATGAGAAGAATTCTAGGGAATGGATGCTTGTTTTATAAAGAAATATCTAATGATATGAACAATGAGTATAATAAATATAATAATTAGTCGAATAATAATAGTAACTTAATTACCTTTTATCTGATTGGTCAATCATCTTGTGATTTTAATTATTAATCAGCATCGAAGAAATACCTGAGAACTGTTGTGGAACTGGTAGGAAGCTAGAATAATTTCTGTGATATAATATATATCATATATCTCAAATTAATAGATTTGAGAATAGGGTTGTAAAATTACCATAAGATTCAAATTGCTTATGTAAGTTATATAAGTTATATAAGTTACAGTATAGTAAATTACTGTTTTCAAATTTAAAAAGTTTAATAGCCCATTTAATAGATTAACCTTATTTATATAAATATATAAAATTTTCTATAAAAAAATTGCTATTTGAAATGTTTAGAATGTAAAATTTTTTTTGGAACTTAAAAAATATTTTTTATTATAATAGTTGTTACTTTCAAAATATAATATTGAACATTGAACATTTTATGACTTTTAATTATTGATATTATGACAAATATCTTAATATAGTGAGAAAATCCAAATCTTCTTTATATTAAGGTTTAATACTATCCTTTTTACTTAAAGGTATGCTAAAATTTAAATTTTATTTATTATAAATTACCCCTTTGTAATTTTAAATTTCGCAAGTAAAAAAATGCCAAAACAAAAAGGAGTTTTTTGAAGTCAGTTTGAGCAGATATTAAATGAAAATAATGAAAATTCTGAACAATGGCAATATATACATTGTGATCGACAATGGGTTAAAAATGCAAGTCATTTAGAGAAATATGTAAATAATATCAAGATAGTATGAATCAATCTGCATTTTTACCTCTGCCTCCACTAATGATAAGCATCATAATTAAAAAGTTGCAACTTGATTGCAACTTCTTGTAAATTTATTTTAATATAAAAATTCATAAATAGTTGCAACTCAAAGAGTTGTAACTTAAGTTGCAACTAGTTAAAAATTTTAAAATTAATTATGAGAACCATCTTTAGCCTTCACTAATAACTAAATATAAAATAGGATAACAAACAACTTTTGATGGATATGCATATTCACTTAGTCAAAAAGATCAAGAGGAAATAGAAAGGCTTCTAGCAAGTACTTTTTATTTAGCTGAAATTTCTTTCAATATAATTGATAATTCTGACTTTTATATATTTCTTAAAAAGCATGTTTAGTGTTTAAAATTTTTTCACAATATAAATTGTTAAATATTATTTTAGATTCTGAATATGATTCTCTAAAAAAAATTATAAATGATATATTAGAAAAAAAAGAATACTAATATCTTACAAGTAATAGATGATCAGATATAAATAGAACTTCAGTAATAAACTATATGGTTATGATTCCATAACCACTTTTTTATAAGTCAATTTCTACATATGAAGAATAAGATACTGTGAAAAATATCTCTGAAAAAATTATATAAACTATTAATAAAATTAGTGAAGAAAAAGTCGTTGCTATTATTACTGATAATGCATCAAATATGAAGGCTGTATAGAGATTTTTAAAAATAAATATCTATACAGTAAACTCTTAATATAACGAATTTTAGGATCTGGATATCAACTTCGTTATAAGCTTATAACGAATTTTTTAAAGAATTTAATTGACTAGTTCACTATATTAAGGTAATTTTAATATATTTAAGTTAAAAATTCGCTATATCAAGAGTTCACTATATCTAGGTTTGACTATATAAGGTAATAATAAAATTTATTAAAATGTAAAATCTTAAAGTATTAATAATATTAATTAATGAAAATAATATATTTTTTAGGTATTTTTGGGTTATTGAGTTCATGAAATCAATTTTGGATTAAAGATATTATGACACTTACTTGATCTGAAAATTTAATTCAATTTGCAAAAAATATTATTAATTATTTTCTAAAACATCAAGTTCCTCTTGCTATTTTACATTGATTACTAATGAAAAAATATGGTATTCATATTGTATTATTATTATTGGAATAAACACAATGGGAATTAGCATACTATTATATTAAAAATCTTATGAAAATAAAAGTTGCACTTTATAATACACTTCATGAAGAAGGAATTGAAATAGTTTTACTAATAAAACAAAAAATTCTTAATGATTTTTTTTAGCAGAATTTACAAATTTTATGTAATTTTCTTGAACCATTTGTAAAATTTATTAATCAATTACAACGAATCAACCAAGACTTTCTATAATATATTCAAATCTTTGAAAAATTGAACAATTAATTGTTCAAAATTCTGACATACTTAAAAATGTTTAACAAAAAATACATGAATTTGAAAAATTACGATTGAATAATTTTCTTTACTATTCTATTATTTATATTATTATGGTGAAATACTTGATATAACACAATAGAATAGATTTTTAGAACAAGAAATTATTTGAATAACATCTGAAAATGAATGTAATGCAGTTATTAGAGAATATTCAAAATATATAGAAAAGTTAAAAAAATTTCAAAAAATTACTTATGGGATAATTTGACTATAAAATTAATTAATTGGTAGAAATTAATTGCAAAATGCTATTCTGTATTACAGCTAATTTCATAATTATGGACCATTAATAATTTTTTAGTCACATTCAGTCGCAATATTTTATAATAATTTTATTATAGAATATTTTCAGTCGCATTCAGTTGCAATTTATTAGTGATCCATGAATTATAAAATTAGTTGTAAATAATATTGCTCTTAAATTATTATCAATTCTAGCATTTAATTTTATTCATAACAAATTATGAAATAGAATGTTAAATCAAAAGGTTGAAAAATCTGTTTATCTTTATTGGAATATGAAAATTTTAAGAAAAAACAGATATAAATATAATAAGTGAATTAGAAAATGATATTGAAATAGAAAATGATAGTGAGAATGATCAATTTAATAATTTGTTTGTAGAAGATTTTGGCAAATAATATAGATAGTAATAATTATATTAATAATTATTAGTGATACCTGACGAAATTACCTTTCTTAATATGACGAAATTGACGAAACTGAAATGACGAAACTAGTTTTTTATT